CACTTAGGCAAATGCTGAGGCAGTAATATTCCACAGATAATCTTTCATTCTCTTCTGTCTTCATTTCGTCCGTCTCGACTTTCTCACCCGAACCATCACCCACCCATTCCCACGATTCCTGAAAGCAGGCTGAAGAGGGCCTTCCGCCCTACCTTCCGGCATAGTCCGGAGGGACTGCCCGCCCACCAGCATTACTGGCTGGTGGGAATGAAACACCCAAAAGTTTTTTTTTTACGTTAATTTTAATGGCTTAGTGGCTTAGAACTTAGGTGATGGCAATGTGAGCGACATACGTAGGTGGTTCCACGGCACTCCACGTTGGTACGTAACGTGGACTATAGTAGAAAGCCATCCTACTATCCTACAAAGGAAACGAATATAGCGAGTTTACCTTGAGCGTATATCATTAAAAATTAAGTAATAAAAAACGTTGTATTCTTGAGGAGTTTTACTGATTATATCGATTCAAAAAGTGACGTATGTATAGGGTTGCCATTATTGTTGAGAACTAATACGGGACTTACTAGTGGCAAATAAATGAAAACTGAAAATAAGGGTAGAAACGGTTTATTATAATAAATAGAGCACAGTACTTCAAACCTACCTATCTTTATAAAGGTCTATTTTTGAGTATATTCATCTTTAATAGCATCTTTTATAATGACGGAAAAAAGTATTTTTACGTACGAGTGACCGGAGTGTGCGTGGGCGAACGGCGAACGAGCATCAAGGAATCCACACGACTTCACTGTGATTACGTGATTGAACGTGAGCCTTTAGTACGTGTATATTGAAATATTGATAAACGGGACAAAAACCGGACAAGTAACATTAAGGGACGTGGTACTTAAATACGGTGACAGTCCCGTATATACGGGACGTATGGCAACCCTACGTATCTATACAGTACTACGACAAAATTACGAGGCAAATGTTCCGCGCTTACAGGGTGATATTATGCAAGCTGAAGTATTGAATTTAGAAGGAATATAGGGGGAAGCCCGTCACTTATTACAGTTACGTTAAAAGTAGTTTAGTATTATACATGGTCATGACAATTTAATACCGAATTTGCATAGTTTCGAACCATCAAAACGTGTTTGGAATGTGCTGTATATTTTTTCAAATGCAGTTGTAGAATTTTTCCCTCTATCTGTCTATATTACACTCCCTTATACCCATCTCTATTAGTTTTTTGTTATTTATTTGTTTTTATTATAAGTAATTAAAATGATCGAATTTCTAGCGAAACTATGGAATTACTATAGTAAACTTGAAAACAAAAAAAAAATAATAAAAAGATCACTTGCCATTATTAGTAGTAGTTAACTATTCATTTTGATATCATAGAAAACAATAGGTATGCAATTATGTTATATTGTTTTGTATGATATATCTCTGCTAAAATTCAATAGAATAACACTGTTATTATTTATCTAAATGCGACGATAGGTCTCAACTTCACTACGTTATATTTTACAAAATCGCAACTGGGCTTCAAAAGGGTCTTACTAGCTCCATTGAACCGAAACAATCTACAAACCGAAACTATTCTATTTATAAACTCGGGCTGTCCTGCTCTTTTTTGAAAGGACCTTCCACACAATTTGGTATATCGGGTTGTTGTACCTCGGAAAGTACATTCAACATTTATTTATTCCAAGAAACCATGTACACTTACTCTAACGACCGGTATGATTACTGTTGGCTAGCTTGACGAAAATTTTTTGTTGTTTCCGTCGGTGTACTGCTGTATGGCATAGATCAGTAATTGATCACACAAAATCTATATGTATGTCGATTAAATATATATAATACGTTTAATAATCCTGTACATACACACTAATTAACTAAAACTAATATTACTTGCTATTCAAAAAGATGCTTGTTACTTGTTGGGTAGTCTGAATTGATCTTATGTTATTGATACAATATAAAAGTGGTTTTGCGTCTTAAAACTAAACGCTCCTCGGCCACAACCCCTAAATTTCCCCGGGTCAACACACCCGAACAGGCCGTATGCAGGTATAGGTATGCACTACATAATTAGCCATACCGATAATTCAGCGAAAAACCTAATTGTTTAATGACATTATATAGTTCAGAGTCGGACAAACTCGGCTGTTTTGACTCCCGAGTGCTCCTCAGGATAGCCAAGGAGCTCCTAATTGCTCCTGCGAGTGCGAGTGACATGAGAAGAAAAAGGGAAAGCAATATGGGTCATTACTGTATATTCTCTCGTACTCACCAAAGGGTATGGAGTGACCCGAAGTTAAAGTTTGCCCGGCTCTGATATAGTTGTGTCACTGCGAAGGTATTTATGAAGGTACCCTTCTTGGTATCAAGAGGTTAGTACCGCAGGTAGGAAAGATAAATTCTTAGCAATTACCTACTTGAGTTATCGATGTGAATAGATAGTAATCAGCGCGTTTCTCACACCGACAACCAATTCCCAATAATGTGCAAACTAGACTATTTCTTGTGTAGTATATAAACTTTGTTTTAGCCTTCTTAAGTAATTAATGTATCGCAGTTCACGTGCATGGCATATTGCTGTAATACTTAATTCGCGAACGGCAAGTTTTGTACTCTTAGTTGATAATTGTAATAATTTTGAAGTTTGTTTTAAATAAAGTGTACATACAAATTTTGGTTATCTTTTTTTTATAAAGAGAAACTTTCAACGTCGTTCGTTAACTCGCCTACATTTTCTTCAATTAACAATAACATTCTATAAAACTTCTCTCGCTTCGGCATTTCTGCATGTAATTTACCCTGAACCGGCAACCTATCCCAAAATTACAACACCCCTTATAAACCTCTTTTATACTTTTTACTTCAAAACTTCTTTTATTTATTCTATTTCCAAAATCTATTTGTATTAGTTTTATTACAACCGAACGTGTCTTTGTTACAGGCCGACAGTGCCCTTGCCTCAAGTTTTTTATTATTATTATTATTTTCAAAAGTTAAGTTCAAAAAACTGCACAAACCCCTCTACAAGAACACGTTTGGTCAACCCCCAGAAAGTGGTGGGAATTTAGAAATATAAGATAGTATCTAGACAGAAAAG